CCAAAAAAATTCCAGCATTTTCACCACGAAAAATTGGTCAAAAACAAAAAAATTTTGTATCCAGCCTAAAAACGTATTTCTGTTCGGATCTTTATACTTACTAGCTAATAATTTTGGATATTGTGTTTCTACCTAATAGTAGTAGATTAGTACTTAAATATTGAAAAAAAAAGTTTTCGCAAGATGCCCGAATATACATCCTGTTATGGTAATGCATCACACTTCGCTGCTAATAACTGTAAATTTATTTCAACTGTTAAGTTCACAGGATATACTAGATAATGTTTGAAATCAAGARACAATGTGGAGTGGCAAAATTTTTCTTTTTTTTACAAAATATTTCAAACTGAAAAGTTTTTTGTTTTCGCATGATGCACGCGGTGGATGAATATTGTGTTATCTATAAAAATTTTTTTCTGTTACCTATAAACTTATTTACATGAAATGATGTAAATTTTTTTTTAATACCGTCTTTATTTTATTATTATTTACTATTTAGGTACTATTTAATATTGAGCTTTTTTTATTTGTTTTACATTATTATTATTATAACTTAGGTTATATAGGAAATGGTACAAATCATGGAACAATATTAGGTAATGGCGCAGGGAAAATGCCAAAAATTTATTTGATGTGATTATTGGTACCGGGGAAACGTTTTCCAGGCTTCCACAGAGGAAATATATCTAAAWTTAAATTGTATWACTTATAGACACTATTGTACCTAAAATATTGTATGTAAAACAAAATCTGAAAAGTTATCCTCAGTCACATATAAAACCAAATATTCTTATATTTCATTCAAATAATACATTATTAATTATATATTTATATAACATGATCATAGTCGCTAATCTTATTAAGGCCAAAAGAAAGAAAAATTATTCGCCCCACACAGAAAAATTATTTTTAGGCCAAAATGCAATCTTGATAAATTTTAGGTATGCATAAGCATACTGTGCATCACCTCAAATCACACCTCTGCATTATCATAGAGCCTTAATTATTTTATTATAGTTGTAAATCTTAATATATTATATAATGGATTAGGACTGGCTTTAAAATGTAAGGGTATCAACTGAWCCCTTTTGTTAGCGCTGTACTGTGGTATAGGTGTTGATCAGTAAGTTGTTTTTTAAATATTTTAAAATCGATTACTGCAACATTTTGTGTTACATTTATAGAAAATGAGATTAAAATATATTTATTATATTCTAAGAAAGAAAATCCATCACCAAGTTGTTTCAATTTATTCAAAAGTCTAACAATTTTCGAACTAAAATATTGGTTGTGTACACATAGACGTACAGTGTTTAAGTTATTGCTTAAAATAAGGTTTAAATTAATGTATAATCAGAAAATTATTAATAGGATTTCGGTCTTAACTGACATTATGGATATTTAAAAATGCTTGTAACATTGGCAAATCAGGTGTATTGTGTAAATGTATACAATATAATATCTATACATAAACACACAATTACATTTCAAACTGTACGGACATTGGATATTCACCAACTGTGTTACCATCACAATTTACGTCACGACGTAAGCTAACAACTGAAATCTTATTCAACGCGAATGAGTGAAAATCATCATATCTTATTAATCACTGTTGATTTTCAATTGGTTATTGTTAAATTCTTATGAATCCCTTTCAGGCCTTTCAGCAAGAATTATGGATCGAAAATTCAAAATGTCAAATATAGTTGAAAGAGGCATTTAAAATGATCGATATAAATTATTTTTTGTACCTAACATTGAGATTGTTAAGTTGTTAGTTTTTATTTGGTGAATTCATTTTGGATTTTCAACTAAATTCATTACATATTATTTTTATTAGCTTAAATAGTTTTGATCGTTTATGAATTGGTTCCTGATTTCTATACTAGTTAATGATGATAGCTTAACATTTGATTTATAATTTTTTTTGTCTAGCCAAAACTGCAGTTCTATATAAATAACAACAGTAATAAAATTTTTGTCTGAACACAAAAATTAAATTAAAAAAAGTTTAGACAGCTGGAAATAGATAATAAAGGTTATCAGCAGAATAATTTCACAATTTTACCAACGGTGGTCTCAAAGTGGATGAATCATGTATTCCAAATAATGAAGGTTTTTTGCACAGTATAAATAACACGAAGGAAGAAAATCATTGAGCCCTTTGCGTTCAAAAAGTAAATTTAAGTACAACCGGACTGAAATATTATTATATGTAATTTAAAGAACATCAAATTATAGGAACTACTATGCAATTGATATCAAAGTTTATAATTTTTTCCATTGTAATTTGTGAGTACCTTTCATGTAAAAGTTATTTGTATCTGTGATCATCAAATAAAAAAAACTTAATTCAATACTGACAATATAATGTGATACAATATAATGTTATACTGTCTACTAGCACGTACTCTAGGCGAGAACATTATTTAGCACGAGCTCTGGTTCAAATAAATTATGCGTAGGTACACTGAAAACTTATTATGGTGTGGCTTATGTTGACGATTTATCGWAGGGTAATCAGACAGGAAAAAAACTGTCTCGGACGCAAAATAAGCAAATATACGCCATCTGCATTAATAATGTATCTATAGATAGGTATAACTTCTTAATACTGTGAAAACTGAAAACTCAATACATCAACTTAGTAGCAGTATTATAATATAAATGCTTTGGGAATGTCTCATTTTATTATATGTTTTATTATTTGTATTAACACGTGTACTTATTACGAAAACCGATATTTTGTATTATTTTTTTTGTCATTCGTGAAAACTCTTAATATATTTTATCCTATCAAGTTAACTTTGTATAAAATAGTTAAATTACCGTGTTTGCAAGTTACGTTGTAATGAATATAAGAATCAAATTCAGATATAATATTGAAATTTGTTATTATTACTAATATTAATATGCTTAAACCTAGCCACCTAGGTAAATAATAATATATGTATTATTTTTTTAATTTAACAATAATTATTATGGTTGGATCGTATTGCAGTATGGTTAATAATGTTAATATACTATAATATGTACATATATAACTCCACGTTTTCAATATATATTTATTATTTATTTTCTATCCTTTATGGCAATTATAATATATTTATTTAGAGATTAAAAGTTTGTGAAGTACAATACTCAATGTTATAAAAACCATTAGCATTAATTGAAGATAATATACGTATAACTTGCACTAAGTACCTATCATAATATTATAATAATTAATATTATATACAATTTATTCACAGTTAGTAGGTGTGTTACTACCAACTCACTTGGTGAATACACAACGCCATCTATCTAACTATAGGTTCGAATGTATTATTTAAAAAATTTAAAAATCTTGTAGCATTACTGATATTCTATATCTTACTTATAATAATTTATTTTCATTTCATCCTAAAAGCACAAATCAACATTAATATTTTATAGTATTTTAAATATAATATTTAATCCGGTTAAATCATTTTTTTATATTATGCTTATTTTATGTTTTGACACATTTTGTATCTTTCATAGTTAGTTATTATAAATATATTTATGATACCTGCAGGAGACCTACCTAAAGTATTAATGTATTTGGTTTAATATCGTACTTCTTTTTTCATATATATATATATATATATAAATTATAAATTAAGAATAATATTATGCTTTATTTAGGACCGATAGGTTTTCAAAAGAAAAAAAATGCTGAATGATTTCATTAATCAAAAATCAAGTTACCTATTGATAAAATATCAGAAGAACGTGTTTCACCACCGTGTTGGCTCCTTCTTACAAATAACGTACATAAACTTAGAAGAACCAGATAACTTAAAATTTAAATGTAATGGGCAAGAGCATTATTTGTATTTCGATTTTCATTTAAAATTTTTAATGAGTTATGAATTTATAYCTACCTATGTAGAATTTTACAAATTAAAAATGCTAACAAAGCATCTTAAAAACCATCGAATAACCACAGATTATAATATTCTTACCTTCAAAACTGATAATAGGTCAACGTACTCTATTAAAGCTAACAACACAAAATAGATTCTACTGAACAAAAATTTGCTATGTTGACATGTTGTATGTTTGTAAGACGGGACAACACGTCATGCGCGTGTGATGTCATCTTAGATAATATTATGTACAATATACGACATAAATGATAAATACAAATAGTTATTCAAATGTTTATAATGTTTATATGTCAGATATCAGTACCAATGCGCTATTTAGATACGATAGTAGAATTCCACACATTCAGCCATTATATTTATACTATATACTTTACTGCACAATATTTTAACGAGTCATCATACCCTTAAAAAAAAGTTATTAAAGTATAGAAATACATCATCTCCCTTCTTATATCTTTTGCCTTCTTCAGTTATCCCGATCCTATTTCAAATATCAACGAGTATTACCTAAATAAAATATTTTAATTTGTTAGTTAAAACTACAAAACTTCAAAAGTAATATTAAAAAATCATTTTATTCCAGGATTTGAATTTGAACTTTCCAAAATATATGCTCGATGGTCAAGGTTACAAATATTTTTTTATTTTATTAATATTATATTGTATAAATACACTGTTAATTTGTACCAAATAAAAACTCTATACACTCAATCAGGGCCGGATTAAGATTTTTTGCGCCCCGGGGCAAACCTACCTAAAATTAAGAACTACTTTTTAATAATACATAAACATAACATTGTTTTACTATAATTTGGCATTTATTATATAATATTANTTATTCAAACTTTTCTAGGTAAGGTGATATTTCATCAAAAGTTAATAACAATTATTATAATAAAATATGATAGATATTCTCAAATACACAATATTATTGGCAAAACGTAAATACTAATAATAAACTAAGTTATTTTAAATATCAAAAACATATACACTCGGCATAGGCTGACAGACTATGTATCTTGAGAAAATTTTTATGTACAATGACAAATCATTGAAAGACAAATTGAAAAAATTCATTATAGTGAATCAATCAACTACAACTATAAAGCAGAGCAGTTCATACTTTCTCACCCCTTTATTAGCTTTAGCTTCCAACATTAAATTATATAGTATAATTATGTCTGATATCAAAATGTATCTTATAGTTAATCCCATAACTTTGAGTTAACATACAAGGCGAACCAACATTTTCTTTCATTAATCTGTTTTCCGGCACCCAAACAAACTGCGTATACAACATTAAAAGCCCAAGAATCCAAAACATAAAATCTCTCTGACTCTGAGGTTCAACTTCATGAGATGTAGAGTTGGAAAACACAATAAAATCTAACTGATTTTCAGAATCATTCAGTTCTTTCGGATCAAAGCGCAATTGAATATTAGAAATAGCAGATTTTTTAAACGGATTTCCAAGAGCACAAACAACTAATGTCTTGTTAAATGGATTACAATCTACTTGCTTTGTCTAAAAATATAAATCATTAATTTTMATTWTAATTAATGGTTTTTGGTTATTAAACTTACGTCTTCTAATTTTACAGTGCCTATGTAATTAAACGAATAAGGATGAACAACAAACATTCTACTTTCGTATGCAGACTCTCCCTGGTTGTATGCAGTTGTATTTAAAAGTATTTCAACATGCTGTCCGATTACTAATTCATATTTATCATCTGAAAATAAAATATTATTGATCACAAATATGTTAGAAATGTTAGAATATTATGTTGAAATAATAAATTAATTGAATAAAAATAAAACTTATTTAATTAAGCTAATAAAATGTCACAGTATTCACAGTAATAGTAAATACCTGATGTCCTAGGTAACAACAATTCAGCATTTACATGAACTCTACTTTCACATCTATCATTATTTCCACARTCCTTATGGAATGTAGCAAAAAATGTTTTTTCTGCTTGGTTTTGATTCAATACCGGTAAATCAGCTAAAGAAGGTACTGGATCACCAGGCCTTAGAACAGGAACATCGTTTTGTACCAGAGAATATGAAATATGCATGGCAATTGGAGACTGAATATCCATTGTGTTTTCCTATAACAGGACCATAGTATAAACAAATGTTTTGGATAGAACGAAATTATTTGAAACAGGTACCTTTATGTAAGCTGTGTGTTGTTGGCACGTTTCTTTTTTGTTGTGGTCTACGGAGACAATATTTTCAATTGTTTGTGACTTCATCATATGATCTGGTCCAAACCAAACCCTAGAAAACTTACGACCTTCTTGAAACGTTTCAGCTTCCAATCTATAACGCAACTGAATGCCCCATTCTCCATCAGATCTAGCTTTGATCACAGATTCTAATGTACAACATGTTTCGAATGTAAAACTGTAACCATTAAGAAAACACTAGTAGTTAAATATTATATCAAAGTTTTTTTCAAAAATTATGCTATTCTACCAGGTAACTGAAGATGTTATGTTAGCCGAACAACCCGTTTTAGTTGGATCAATGTTCCGAAGTTTTTCTGGAGGCCGAACCTCAATTGTTATATCTACAATTTCGTGCAAAAGCACGAAGTTCACTCAAAGTATATATGCCCAATAAACCTCATAAATGGGGTTACAAGTTTTTTGTTCTTAGTGGTGCCTCAGGTTTTGCATATAATTTTGAGTWTTGTTCAGGTCAAGAAAATAATAGTGAAGGTAGAAAAGCAAGTGAGCCAGACCTAGGTGCTAGTGCAAATGTTGTTATGCGCCTTAGTAGAGTTATACCTAATAAMCAMAATTWTAAATTATTTTTTGACAATTATTATACTACTTTGCCACTGTTAGTTTATTTAAAAAAAAGAAATATATTATCTTTAGGCACTGTAAGAATAAATAGGTTAAAAAATGTAATGTTGCCAGATGATTCTATTCTTATGAAACAACCTAGGGGCACTACTGCCCATTGTATATCCAAGGTGTTAGATACACACATAGTTGCTGTCATATGGAAAGATACAAAAATTGTAAGTTTGCCGTCGACATTTACTGCTATAGACCCAGTTGTAAAAGTAAGTAGGTTTGACAGAAAACAAAAAAAAATAATTGAGGTTGATTATCCAAATATAATACAAGTCTATAACAGACACATGGGTGGTGTTGATTTACTAGATGGGTTACTTGGGCATCATAAGATAAAGATGAGGAGTAGAAAATGGTACATGAGAGTTTTCCACCATTTATTGAATGTAACTGTAGTAAATTCTTGGCTTCTACATAAAAGGATTCAGAAACAGAAAGAAAATAATAGTGTGCTATCATTGGTAAAGTTTAGGGAACAACTTGCTTTATCCCTCTGCAAAATTGGTACCTATACGGTATAGTTATGTATTAATTAAATTAGTACCAAATCTAAGATGTGATATTGTTTTTTATTTTGTTAAAGTTGTGTATTAAGTAAATTAGTACCAAATCCAAGATGTGATATTGTTTTTTATTTTGTTAAAGTTATGTATTAATTAAATTAGTACCAAATCCAAGATGTGATATTGTTTTTTATTTTGTTAAAGTTATGTATTAATTAAATTAGTACCAAATCCAAAATGTGATTTTGTTTTTTGGCAAAAATGTTATTGTTTATTGTTATAAGTTGTACAAATAATATATTTTAAACATGTATAATCCAAGTTATAATGGTTTTCTTTTTACTAAAAAATATAGTTGAAGTATTGATTATTTATTTGTATGTTATTGGTTTATTCATCATAAGATAAAAAAAAAAAAAATTATATGTGGTAATTTTAAATACATATTGGAATATCAATTAAACAACAGATAACAGATAACTCAAAAAACATGTAAAAACTGTATAATATACTTATACACTACCTAGACTCGGTTGTATACGATAATCGTGTATARTAATTTGGTGTTTAGACGTTTAGTACATTAATTTAATATGCATATTATTGTATATGTCCGTAATAGAAGCCTAATACATATAATAGGACTGCCTAAGTCCTAAATTATAATATTATGTGTTTTTGTTTAAATAATATGAATTGTTAAAAATTTAGTACACTCGCGAGCGAAGCGAGCTCGTTATATTTCTTATGTGGTATTTGTGGTGGTAAAATTGATGAGGTAATGTGGTAATTGTGGTAATTTTGTTATCATGAAATGGTAATATGACATTTTGAATTCGGCAACACTGCCTATACCCCAAAACGTGGACATCCCACTGCAAGAAGGAATTATAAAAAAAGGTAAAATAGGACAGCATGGACCACCAAAAAAAGTGAGAACTGATAAATTAGATCATTGGCCAATTGAAAGTGAAAAAAAACTAGATGTAAGAATCCAGGTTGCAAAGGTTTTACTTTTATGATGTGTGGAAAATGTTAAATAAGTTTATGTTGTGACAAAGGATTAACTTGTTTCACCAAATGACATACAACATAAAAATGCATTATAATTTTATTTTATAATTTAAAAAAAATTTATTTCCCATAAAAGATATTATTTTAGTTTCTAGTGACTATATTAGTTGTTTTTTTACTTATAATAGTTATTTTGTTATGTATTGGCAGGTCAGTCAATTACATTTTTGTTCTAAGTTTATACCAAAAAGGTTATTAATTTTTTAGTATTTTTATTTCTATATATGTTTTTGTTACATATTGATACTACATTGATTACTACTTTATGTTACATTTTTAAAAAATTATACTTTGTTTTGTAATTGACAAGTTAGTCAATGATTTATTATATTTATAGTTAACCAATAAACAATAAAACTTATAAAGATATTCATTTTTAAATTTATTAAATAATTAATTATGTGTACCCGTAATGCATAGTGTTGCTCACGGGCAACAAACTAAAAAATTGGTTTTTTAGGGACTTAAAATACTAAAAATATTTTTTAAGTATTTTTCCCTTAATAAGGAGTAATATAACATCACAAAAAATTTTTAAAAAAAATCATGCATTTTAGGGTTAAATGAAATTGAGTAGACGAATGGGCTTCTAATTTACATGCACATGTAATTTACATTTACACACTAATTAAAACAAATTAACACATTAGTTATTAGCTTCAAAATCCACATTTATTTTACAGGTTAGGCCAGCCAAGTAAATATTGAATATTGATAACATTCATTACAATCGTAAATAATAAAGACGTTAATCGTGGTTAGACCTAAGATAATACCACGGTTGTTGCAGTAAGTTGTAGATATCTATTAGACCATGCATTTTTAAATGAAAGTCCTATCGTAGAATTAAAGTACCACATATTGTAATTAATTAATTAAATTACCACATATTGTAATCTAAATTTTTTTTCATAATGATATAAATATAATACAGCTGCTACTGTACAATTAGTTAATATATTAGATCAAATATTTTCTCATGAACACGACAACATTTTGGGGCTATTACAATATTTGAGGGGGCTAAGTCCCCCAAGACCCCCCCTATTTCCACCTATGTGACCACCTTAGGTATTGGTGGCTGTTCGACAATTGCCAACAAATCTATATTACAGCAATCAATACACCCAATGCTTTTTAAAGATAGATCATGTTCCCCATCACCTTGAACGTCTACAATTAAGATATTTTCTTTTTGCGTACAAACATCATAAAATATTAACGACTTTCCGGCTCGTATCAATAAAACATCTTTGGATACGAACTTCATTTCATCAACGGTTTCTGGTTTTAACCATCTGAAAAAAGTTTGTATACTTGAATAAAAAATACGATTTTGATTTTAAATCCTATTCTTTGAATTGAAAATCGAGACATATGTTGTGCTTATATTAAAATTTACGATTTTAATCGTTTAATATATTTATCTTAGGGTGACACACAAAGTGTTGGATTACTGGGTAGTAGTTATAGGTGACATGAAATAAAAAAAGGCTGAGAACCACCGCCTCAAGACCTAAACGATATAATATACGTCGGAGTGATTTATCAAATTACAATCATTGTAATACAATGGGAAGTTCCAGCAGTCCTGGATAGTGTTCTCTGACAGATCCTGCAAGAAAATTTATTTTATATTGTACTACGGATGTAACGACATCATTGCACTTTACCTATAATTGCCCTTATTGCCCCACGGTGGATGACCTATATAATATTATGCGACGTATGATCACGACAATTAGAATCCACGGAAAACGAAAAACCAGTTTTTAAAGTGTTTTCATTGTCATCATTGAAGTTCGGGCTATGACCCGGGGCGTATATCGATTGTGCCGAAATTACCTTTTTACCTGCAAGTAATCTATTGATTCCACCTGCTATCGACTCCGCCGAACTTAATTGCATCGGTTTTCATATATCTTAATCAATATAACCTATAAAATTGTAGACATATTTTGTTACACGTAGGAACATTGATATTATTAGAAATTTAAAATATTAGCCATTAGGGAATGCACAATTCAACAAAGCACATTCTAATATATGTTTATTTACGCATGTATTAAATTTAATGATTCAAATTGATACATATATAATAATAAAAGGGCTTGATAATAATAAAATAAGTAAAAATAAAAATTATGAAAGAAAAAATGAATATATAGAACATTTTTAAAGTATATTTAAATAAAAAAATTGATAGATTTCAGTATATAAAACTGGCATCAAAGCACTATTCTGAAAAATAAATAAATAAATATTATTATTGCATTTTAATTATTATTTACTATTATTTATTTTATTTTAACTATATTATTTTTGCTGTTTTGGCGTTAGCTAAATAAATATTAAAACATATTATTATTTTACTATTTTAATAAATTTTACTTACGAGAATTTTTGAATTGTTTTTTGAAATGTTTATATTTAAATTTAAAAAAAAATATGGTAAACTAGGTGATATTGATTTTAAAAAATACTGTCAGTGGAATCAATATAAACAATCAGGCGGAATTGATATTAAAACGGCGGAATCGATAAAACCCTATGAGCTATTACCCGCGCCCACATGACGGGAGGGTGTAAGATAAAAACACTCACACTAATGTTCACTTACTGTTACTACGCACACAACGACAAGGCATAACAGTGAAAAACCAGAAATTGTCCAACTACAGCTCCTTGATTACGACCGGTACCCAATCACCTTAACAAAATGTGAATTCTTAACAAAATAATTAGAAAATGCTCACATTTTTCAGCGAAATTGCCAAAATTATTTTAGATTAACGCTCGACTTTTTTTAATTTTCACCAAACTTACTAACTTGTACTAAATTTTTTAATATTTTTACCAAATAAAAAATAATTTATAGACAATGTTTGAAAAAAAATCTTCAAAAAAGATAGTTTGGTGGATATCACACGTCTGTAAAGTAAGTTACAAATGAGACGCTGTAATGGATGGTGTTTAAATTGAATATAATGATATCATATCTTTGTATAAAAGAACGATTCTGAGCGAAGACGGTCAATCAGCTTATGTTTTGATTATTGATATTATTAAGTATATTGAATGAAATTTTTGCGAATGAAGTAATTTATATGCATTATGCAACCTATTTAGGTTGAATCTTGTTTTAAATTTTCAATCCTTTAAAAGTTGATTGAGACATTTTATAAATTTTTAACTACAAAATTATTTTAAAATTTAAAAAATAAAATAAATGTTGTCGAAATNTAAATTCGTGAAAACGCGTATGTGAGTTTGCGCGCCGTGTACACTGTCGTAATCGCTAATAGTTTTTTCACTCTAAATGGTACCCACAATATTTCAAAACTTTGCGCCTTTAAAATCTTGCGCCCGGAGGCAGATGCCCCCTCTGCCCCCCTTTAATCCGGCCCTGCACTCAATACACTAATATTTTTGCTTTAATATTATACAAACATTGTCTACCTAGTTTTATTATAGTTTAAATTTATAACTACCTAAAAATGTTGCGCCTCAAGCAACAAAATAAAGTCTTTTCTGCTACAAATATACAATTTTAACAATATTTAAATAATTTATTTTATCATGTGTCATATTATTATGTATCGAATACCTACATATTTTTAAAAATTAAATTTTAAAAACAAAATTWAATTAAATTTTCACGGCCGTCGTTACAATTTACGGGGCCCGTGGAATAACTCTTTTAGCAAGACCTATTAAAAAATGTGCTGCTTTCCACACGAGCAATAATTACACTCCAGTAATCACACCCAAAAAAATGTAAGCATACGTTAAGTATTAATTTTACTTAATAGTTATTACCTTGCACTTAACCAATAGGCACCTCACTTTAGTATCTAAACATTTTGCATCAACACACACGCCGCGCAGTTGCTATCTCCCGGATGGGCGACCACCCGGGATATCCTTGCCATACATACACAAACACGTGTTAAAACCCTACCAACTCAAAAACCTACAAACAAAAATAACTAATCTAACCTCACAGCCAATGGCATATGTTGCCATGGGTTCCTCTTAAAAAAATACATATTATATAAGAATTATATAATGTTACTGTTGAGATCATCAAATGTGTCAATAATATCGACTACTATTTCTAGTTCAATTATTGATACCAAAAATAAATTTGGTTTAGACATTGGTTCTTCTTAAAAAGCATACAATTTACAGTGGACGAATTTACTCATTTAATGCTTCTTAATGAAAATGTTTCCTATCCTAAAAATAATATTTTTATAACTTATACAAATTACATGTGTTATAAATTATAACGTATGCATAAATAAGTATCTACAACATTTTTGTTTGTATAATTCATTATTAACAAACACACAGCTAGTAATATTATTTGTGTCCATCACTGGAATTAACTGTGTGTCTAGAAAAGCCCCTTAAAAAATGGCCTGAATCATAGTTCACGTATGCAATATTATTTCTGCAACATATACAGACTTAAAAGTCGTTTTTTTGCGAACTGCGTTAACATGTATTACTTTAATACAGGCCACAAGGTCCTGTGAATTGTGATAGAGAGGAAAGGTAATTATATAATATATTTCCACAATAATATTACACTGCGTAGAGCCATATTAATATTTATAAGGGATTGATAAGATGGAGACGGGGCATTCGAAAATAGACACACAGTGGCGCCAAACAGCTTGACACTAACGCTATGATTTACTATACATCTATGATAATATTATATACATTCTATCACTGGATTCAAGAGTCATATTGAATATTAAATATTTATCGAAGCTTTCGAAGCTTTAACTTGTCAGATTGGTATGTTTGAAATCGTGATCTGATGGTGACGAATCGTTATAATTTTAATTTATATATATACATATATAACTGAAGACCCCGCCATTATATTATAGAAAATTAGTATTAATAATAGGTACCAGTATCATTATAGTGGAATGATATTATTAATACTATTAGTATACCTACGCAAACATCGATGTCAACAGAACCTGCTGCAGGGACAGGATCAAGAGTGACTGCAGGAGTATTATAGAGGTGCTGCAGGATCAGGAGTCGTGCCGTCATCACAATTACCGCATACCTTATTCTTTATATACGCTGTTTTATAGGTGGAAGTTTGTGTGTAGGTACTAGGTGGTAGGCACATTTCCGATATTCCATTTGTGGTCGCCAACACCGTCGAATCGGGTTACTAGGTCGGGCGGCGGCCATCTAATACACGTCGGCCCTCGTAGTAAAAATAATAATATATTATAATTTATATTTTACGTCTTCTGGTACTGCTCGTTTTAGCAGCGGCGTCTCGGCGTAGTAAATCGTTTCGACCTAGTTCGGCATCGACCCCGCGACGACGCGACACGACCGTCCGCTTTCCGGCACATCTACACCTAGGTTAAAATACTTTGTTATATTCTATACAATATAATATACTTAGGCATATGACGTATATAAACTATAGATAGTTAAAATATTATAATATTATGTTCAAACGAAATTGCTTTGTTCGAAATAAGCACTATAAAACTGCGATGATCAAAATAACCCATCGTTTTACTTTTTACTGGAGAAACGTTTGTCCATATTATAAATATATTACTAAAATTTTCAAATTAAACCGAAAAAAAGCGGGTAAGTCGTGGATGTCGCTCTGCTGTACAGTAGGTTACAAGTGGGTTATTGTAATGGATGGAATTAAATTTGAATCCAATGATATTATATCATTGTATACGAAAAACGATTCTGAG